TATCGAGGAAGAATAAACTGGTTTAATCAAGAAAGGACTTGTATTGCTGAAGATCCTCGGAAAGAATTTCTACTGGAAACAAACTCCTTTTTGATCCAGCATCTTGATACTCACAAGGATTTGCTGAGATGCAGAATCTATGACAAAGTTGCCCTTTTGGCCATCCAGCTTTCTTGTCACGTAGACACTATGTGTGCTTACCATTTTACAATTAGCTGTTAGGACTTTCAAATTGGGGGTTGGTGGGCCTCCCTCAACACCAACCACCACTCTGCCAGGAGCTCAAATTGTGTTCTATATGCTTCCCATGGTGCCTTCCCATCGAATTCTTGTGGCTTTCTTTGTACTAGATCACCCCTATTGCTGACACTCATGTCTGGAATGTGACTTCTGGCAGGACTGAAGATATCTGCATTAAGGTTTAGCTGCGGGGTCTGCAAGGGGCTTCCTGTTGTCTGGAGCTGATTAGGTACATGGCTAACATATCCTCCCTGTGTAAAAGACAGTAAACCGTCCTTTAACCCGATGACTACCAGTACTAACTTTCTTAGTAGGCAATGCAAGTGTGCATTTGTGAATTGAAAAAATGATAGAGAACTTATCTTTTAATGGATTTCTGCTTTTATTTTTATAAATAGTAGCATAACATTCAATTATTTGTACAAAATTGTATTCTTCAATGAAGTTTAAAGAGGAATTTAATGAAAAAATTCCTAAAATACGTTTTAGACTGTAAATAAGCGCCCTCTAAGAAGAAATGTTTTAAGATTGAACAATTGATTCTTGGGATTCAGCTTAAAGTTCTCTTTCTCAACTGAATAACTTTTATTATCATTATTAAAGGTCTTCTGATGTGCGATTATGTCATCTAAGTTAATGAGTATGATGTTCCAGGATCGTTCAGATAGAGCACACTCTATTAATCATTAAATTTATAGCAGGTGCATTACATAATCAAGTGGTAAAACAACAACTTGTCACATTCCGTTTTCTACAGTAAATGTTGTCTTCTCTGTACTTGCTTCGTCAGTTTGCACTTCCCAATATCCACTCTTCAGATTTCATGTTAAAAACCATTTTGTTCCGGGAAAGACAACCAAAGTAGAGTTAATCCTTGGTAATGTATAGGCATCCTTGTTTGTGACTTTATTCATCTTCTGGTAGTCCATGCAAAACTTATGGATCCATCAGTATTATTTTTACAAGGAAAATGGGAGATGCTCAAGGACAAGTAGTCTGTTTTATCACTTCTTGTACCTATATAGGTTTTATATCCTTAAAAGCCTCAGAATGTTTTACAATTAGAAGTCATCTGGCCGATTGATGTAGTGAAGCTGTATCTACAGTATCAATCTTAAGGGATATTTTATTTATTTAACCTAAGTAATGAGGTCCACTGGAGAGAGTATCTTGATATTCCATGATCAAGTCATACAGTCTATGTCATTGATTAGCTGTAAGACCTCTACAGCTTTGGTTATATAACTCTTATTAGTGAGATGGTTAACAGTCTTAATATGAGAAATTTATATTAGACTCCCTACCTTATGTTCTTTTGCTACTGCCTCAATTACGTACTTTTCCTGAAAATTTGGTCTGTGAACATATGGAGTTAGAGTGTAGAATGATTTTCATATTAAGATTAAAATACTTTTCTTCATATTAAAATTTTCAACTTTCATTTGCATAATCTGTAAAGATTTCTAAATAAATATCAAACTATTTTTCATAAAAACTTTATATTTTACCTATTATTTTCTCTACCCTAATTATATACAGGTTCAGTCAATGTGACCGAGCTTGTAACCACCATAAAATTTTAAGGGTTGCAAAATGCAAAATACTGTTCTATCCTCTTTAGTATTGGCCATCAAGTCCCAAAATATACCCCCTAGAACTTTTTACTTCTAACCTTTTCACATCTATTACCTATGTTTATTCTACTGTAAGTAGAAACCTACCAATTATAAAGCAATGAATAACAGCTCCTTTCATTAGGCTGTTTATTTAACACCATTGACAACAAAGAAGCTCGTGCAGCACAATTATCAGAATTTTCCCACAGAGTTTATCATAACCCCAGCTCCAAGAACACAGCGGAAGAGGATTTACCTGCTTCTTTATAGTACAGTGGTTGCAACGAGAATTGTATAAACACTCTAAAGTAATTATGTTTATGATATGGCTCTATACAAAATCTATACACTAATACAGATCCAATAAACTTGGTAGATATTTGGATGTTAGTTATTGTCCCAGTGTGGTTGGAATTTAGCAGTGTTACATATCTGCTTGTTTGTTGATTTCCGGTAGAAATTCTTTCCGAGAAACTTCAGCAATACAAGTCCTTTCTTGATTAAATCAGTTTATTCTTTCTCGATAAAAATTTTTAGTACACAGTAATTCCACAGTCAGTACGTTTCTTGTCACTTTAAATTTAACAACTTTTACAATACATG